CTTCAAACTGAAGTTAATGGTACATAACTTCACATTTTTTGACCTAAAAACTAAAAATGGATATTGCTACTTATGGCATGAATCAATTGGGAATGTCTCGGCAAATGACTATTCTACTATAATCTGCAAATTTATAATAGATAATGTTTTTATGAATATGGAACCAAGACAAAAAGTAATATTGTACAGTGATGGCTGTACATCCCAAAATCGTAATTCTACTTTGGCCAACGCATTAATAAACTTATCGATGACTCTGGATATAACTATTGAACAAAAATACCTCGAAAAAGGCCATACCCAGATGGAGGCCGATTCGATGCATTCAACGATTGAGAGACGGATGCGGCACACAGACATTAATGTACTTATAAAGTTTTTTATTAGGATTATACTTTTTTCAAGGATTTTCACATGTTAAATTATTTGAAATCTATACGTCCATGAAAGCGGGCTGGGGATCCAGTCGTAACCGACATACGAGCATTGCGATATGCACCCGATAGTTCTTTATTTTATAAATTGAGGCATACAGAAGATTTTGATGAATTTCATTATAGCTGAGTAAGTAAAGGTCAGAGAAAAGAAGCTAAATGTCCAGTGAATAATCTTCCAGCATTATACAAGGGTCCAATTCCAATTAAATATGAAAAGTGGAATCAATCTCTAAAGTCAAGTTTACAAAGAGACTATCATTACTTTTATAATAACCTTAAATTTGTTAAATAAGACCATTGCATTTTGTCTTACAATAATTTCTATATATATTTCAAAATATAATTATTCTGTTTTATCTGTTTCTTCGAAAAATAAATATATTTTGTTTGTATCTGTATCTGTTTATTTTAAAAAATTGTAATTTTGCAATAATTTGGTAAATAAATACCTTAAAATGTTTAGTGTATTCTTAATAATCGTGTATTTATTCTTTAAACATGGAAATCCAGTATGTCCAATTATATTTGAATTTTTTATGAGTAAATCCCGTAAGTCCTTTTTAATTTCAATAAATATTGTTTAATACATAGCAATAATAATAACCCATAAATATATAAGATAGAACGCATATTTGATATTCTATAGCAATAGAACAATTATACAGTGTCTCACGTAACTGGTTCGTTAGAACTTTTTCAGGTTCCACTATTCGTAGAGATTTGAAATTTTGGTAGCATGGGTTGTTCATTCGGAACTTTCGATCTAAAATATTTTCAAGATGGCCGCCACTTCTGGTCTACCGGAAGTAGACCATAACTTCGTTATTTCAAATGGAATGCTATAGTTTTCATTGCACCTTTTAATTGTACGTAAAAAAATATGTTGACTTTCATAAAAGTTTTTGGTACCTAGCGTTTTTCGTTTTCGAGTTATTTTAATTTTAACGTTTTTTTGGCAAATTTCACCATGCTCTTTAAAACCCTATATCCCAGCCAACGTTCAATCAAAAAAGCTCTAAATTGGCACGATTACTCTTCAGATGCTCTCAAATAGATTGTCATATATTGTGTTAGAGTATCTTATACAGGTGGTCAAAAATTGAATTACCGTTTCTCCATATTCAATGGGGAAAAAGTAAAAAATAAGTCGAAAATTTTAAATGGAACGCCCCATATTTTATTAACCTACACGAAAGGGAATTTAATTCTCAACAATTTATCTATAAACATTCCTATATCTATTTATTGTAGTTTCTCTCATATTCGTAAATTTATCAAAACATGCAAGAAATGCAAGAAACGGTTTGTATTTTTATTAGAAGGCCATGACATTTTGACAGTTTTTTGTTTAATTTATTTCTATTATTATTTGTACTATTAACTACGATTGATAATCTTTTAGTTTACTAGCTTTTACTTACCAAAAATAACAAACAGAAGATCAAATAAATGAAACTATTAAAACAAAAAGTTAATGACAAAAATTAGATTTGAATAAAAATATAAATTTATAATATAAATTTGTTATTAAATTGAATTTGTAAATGCAATAAAATATTTATTTCGTTGTCTTCATCACTAGTGACCGGAAATATGCGATGTTTTTTGGTCTCGATATATCCAGAACTAAGAAATTCTTTATCAATTTTTTGAAATTTTTCCTTGTGATGGGTGTTATGTTAGGTTAGGCATCTCTCATTGAAGTGTTCGACACGTCCTGTCCAAAAGTTTATTACATTCGCCATCAATACAAAATAAATTTTAAATATCGGCTTTGGAATAATTTACCATGATGTTCAATGACTTACACCCGTCGTCAAATGTAACTAATGACAACAATAATACAAACATGGACCAAAAACTGTCAAAATTCCATAGCTTTCTAATAAAAAAACCTGCATTTCGTGCATGTTTTAATAAATTTCGCAATATGAGGCAAACTACAATAAATAGGTATGGGAATGTTTATAGATAATTTGTAGAGAATTAAATTCTCTTTCTGATAGGCTAAAAAAATATGGGGCGTTCCATTTAAAATTTTCGACTTTCTCGCCATTGAATATGGAGAAACAGTAATTCAATTTTTGACCACCCTGTATAAGATACTCCGATACAACAAATGACAATCTATTTGACAACATCTGAAGAGTAATCGTGCCAACGTAGATCTTTTTTGAATGAACGTTGGCTGAGATATGGAGTTTTAAAGAGCATGTTGAAATTTCCCAAAAAAAGCTTAAAACCAAAATAACTCGAAAACGAAAAACGCTAGGTACCAATAACTTTTATCAAAGTCAACCTATTTTTTTACATACAATTAAACGGTGTATTAAAAAGTATACCATTCCATTTAAAATAGCGAAGTTATGGTCTACTTTCGGTAGACCGGAAGTGGCGGCCATCTTGAAAATATTTTAGATCGAAAGTTCCGAATGAACAACCCATGCTACCAAAATTTCAAATCTCTACGAATAGTGGAACCTGAAAAAGTTCTAACGAACCAGTTACGTGAGAAACCCTGTATATTTGAAAATTAATTTTTGAAACGTTTTTTACTCCTCCTCCAAAATTCTTTATTTGTGACTTAAGGGTTTTGCAGATTAGGCCGACGATTTGTTATTTGTCATCTAATCTGCAACAACAGAAGTACACTAATTTTACTTTAATCTAAATTACGCGTATAATTGAAACATTTCAATATGTTACTCATATTTCCTATTTTTTGTAGTAAATAAAGAGTTTTGAGTTAATAGTATTTATTACTATTATATTCCCAATAATCACAAAGTCAAAATTTTTTATGGCACGTCTATGACCACATTAAACATTTCTTTAGAAAAATGGCACGTATAATAGCTTTATTTGACCCATATGCTTTCCGCTTTCCATCTTGAAATCTTTCTGTTATATCTCCTTATTATATATTATACTATATAAATATTTCAATCTTTATAACCCGCGATCTGGGCCCATAACCTGATGGACTTTCTTGAATAATTAAACGACATTATGGCTTTTGCGGGAATTTTATTTTTTGCCAATTTTAAAGCAGAATCTTGTACATCTTGTATATGACAAAATCATAGACAACAACTTTTTTTTATATCACTATGCTTACAACATGTAAATTGTCAACAGGTAAAGTGATCTAAATACTTATTATAAAATAAACGTTGATCAAAATAATTATCAACTAAATTATTCTAACATCTTCCTCGCATTCAACCAATCACGTGCAAGATCAATCTGGTAAGAAATTTAAAATGCTCCTCCTTGTTTAAAAACAGACTATAGACGGCAATTCTGAAGGAGCTCTTGCACAATATTATGAAACATTTGGACCCTGAATTTGGGCCATTTATACATATAATCATTTTTTTTGTTTATTTGTTTATAGTTTATTAGTTTGTTTAAATAAAAAGATGTTTCATATCCTTCCTTTATAGTCGAAATTATAATTTGTCGATATTTTAATTCCAATCAAGTGGTTTAGACATGGGTCCTTGACGATTTCGAGGTGTCCTTTGAGGTTTCTCTGTATCAACCCTCTCCCTTTAACTTATTAATCCGTTATAGGTATAGATGTTTTACCATACTTTCTTATTTAATTTCGTTTAAGTGTTATTCATTAAAAACTCTTAAAAACAACTTTCCGTTGAATTTGCCATTAAAATTAAGAATAAGTGAAAAATTGCTTTGTTTTTAAAGCAACCTTATTGCGCGATTCTCTTCGATTTTCGGCTCCGAAGACGTCAAGAAGCAATTTTCAACAATTAGTAAAGAAAAAAATAGGTGAAGAATTCTTTAATAANATCACCACATTTCAAAATGTTCCTATTTTTTGTAGTAAATAAAGAGTTTTGAATTAATAGTATTTATTACTATTATATTCCCAATAATCACAAAGTCAAAATTTTTTATGGCACGTCTATGACCACATTAAACATTTCTTTAGAAAAATGGCACGTTGATACGTAAAAGTTCGCCATCCCTGGTATAGATGTTTTACCATACTTTCTTATTTAATTTCGTTTAAGTGTTATTCATTAAAAACTCTTAAAAACAACTCTCCGTTGAATTTGCCATTAAAATTAAGAATAAGTGAAAAATTGCTTTGTTTTTAAAGCAACCTTTGCGCGATTCTCTTCGATTTTCGGCTCCGAAGACGTCAAGAAGCAATTTTCAACAATTAGTAAAGAAAAAAATAGGTGAAGAATTCTTTAATAAACACTTCCTAGAACATTCTAAATCTCAATACATCATACATCATCGTACGACTTTTTAGCAATATTTAATTAATAAACATCATTAATTTCGTTGTTAAGCGGAAGAGCAAACTCCTCGTGGCCTGATGCCTCCAAATTAACACTTTTTTTTGGTTGTTTTTTTAAACATCTACATTTACATCTAATAAAACGAATTTAAATCTTAATTTCTTTGCTAATCATTCACAAATGAAAAAGATAAATGATTGTTTTTTAAAAAAATAACAATAATTTTTAAATTAAATCCAACCCCAACTGAATTCTTACGTAAAACACCCCCCCGAGTTATTGATTTCCATAAAATCGGGGCTGGAAGTATTGTTATGCTCAGGCGCCGCGACGCACCAGTTGAACCTTTTCTATAAACACTAAAACGAGCCAATAACAATAAATATGCTATATTTATATATCCCCGAAAAGTTTTCCTTAAAACAACGTATGCAACGGTAAGTTTTCGCTGTGTTAAATCAACTGTTTGGCAATCAAAAAATATCGAACTTAAAAAAAAACGAAAAAGAAACAACCAAGATGTCATCGGAAATCGTTGAATTAAACGTTGGTGGTGTTTTTTATACAACAACATCGCGCACCTTAACAACTCAACCCGATTCAAAACTCACCATATTATTTAACAACAAAGAAAACGCTTTAAGAGACTCAAAAGGACGAATTTTCATCGATAGAGATGGAGTTTTGTTTCGATATATCATAGATTTCTTGCGAGATGGGACTTTATCGTTACCAGAAACATTTCGGGAAAAAGAACGTTTAAAACGTGAAGCTGAATATTATCAATTACCTGCGTTAATTGAATCATTAACTGTAAACCTTCAACATCAACAACCTGGAGTTATAACGGTTGGATATCGAGGGAGTTTTCAATTTGGAAAGGATGGATTGGCGGACGTTAAGTTTAGAAAATTGTCGAGGATTTTGGTTTGCGGGAGAGTTTCTTTGTGTAGAGAAGTATTTGGAGAAACTTTAAATGAAAGCCGTGACCCAGATCATGGTATCGTTGAAAGATACACTTCAAGATTCTTCTTGAAACATTCATTTTTGGAGCAAGCTTTCGATATGTTAACAGAGCAAGGTTTTAAATTGGTTGGAAGTTGCGGTTCTGGAACGGCTGGGACTGCAGCTGAACCAAAACCGGGTGTTGATACCGAAGAAAATAAATGGAATCATTACAATGAATTCGTTTTTGTTAGGGAGTAAGATTTACGTTTCTTCCACTACAATTAATCTCCTTATTTATGTTGTAATTGTTTCTTTATATTCTGAGTAATCGTTAAAAGCAACTTCCGAAATAGTTCTTTATAATATATCGATATTAAACGATGGAATAGGATTAACTCTAATTGTACTGTATAAAATCATAGAAAATATTCAATCATATATATTATAAAATGTGCGGGTTCGTTTAAAAGTTTAGAAACAATCTAAAAATAGAGATAAATTAGTCAAAACATAACCTAAAAGTATAAACATAACCTAAAAATTAATTTGTCACTTTGTTTCTAACCTTTTAAAATAACGTTTGGCCATCTGAAAACCTGAATAATGTTTGACTATCTCGTCTTCCTTAACTTTAATTAATAACTTTAATTTTCGTCGAATTTCTACAGGGTAGTTGAATTAAAAAAAAAGTGTTTCAAGGATAACCGAAGCATATCTGTGACAAATTTAATTTCCTCCTTTTCATATAAGATATCTATTATAAAGAAAGTCGTATGTAATAAACCGTAAGTTTACTTTTTACAAACTGTAAGTAACTCGGTCTTCAATAAATTATATAATGTAGATAGAATTAAATTTTTTATTTTTTAAATTTACCGCTTGGCAAGGTCACCAACCTAAATTTTAAAATAACTAAAAATTCTATAAGTAATAATAAAATTTTAAGTTTTATTTGATTTAATAAATAATTATTTGATACATAATTAATTTTGATATAAAAAATCAATTTTTATTAAAAATTCATAAATGCATAATTAAAAATTTTTAAAATAATCAGCTGTTTTTACAGTTGGTAGTACCGATTAATTGAAGTTCTACTTCATTCTATTTATGTGTTTATTTTTGCTCTTTACATCGCATATTTTATTATTAAAGGCGTAAAAATGCCTTATCCAGCTGTAGCTGTGGTTGTAGCGGCTGGTGTAATAATCGGAGGTATTTTGTATTATCTTAATCAAAGTTCTCAAGCACAAACGTACAATTATGATCGGTCTCCACCTCGTTTCCGAGCTCCTAGTCCTCGTAGAAACAGTAATAATCGTACTTCAAGCAATAATGCCCGCAATAGGAGGTAAGCTCGAATAATTTATTTGATTTATTGTATACACATTATTTATTTTTGTAGAAGAAGCCAACAGGAGCCAACCACCGTCTGTGTTATATGTTTCGATAAATTTGAAGAAGATTCTCAAAGTGTTATTACTTTGAACTGTCAGCATAAATACCACTATTTTTGTTTACAGGAGTGGTTTGAGAAATCATCTAGAATCTGTCCCATTTGTAGAGAGACAATACGGAATTAATTATAGTGATAAATTCATGAATGATCTGTTTAATTAGTGTCTTGAACTCAGCAGCTAAATGACTATTATTATATTGGGGTATTTTTTTAATAAAAAATAATTAAAGAAACATTGAATGTTTATACAGGGCTTCCCAAAACTCCCGGTACATCCCCTGTTGAGCTTTACCTTATTTTAAAGGTAATGAAAAAAGAAAACCCCATAAACCAAAACCCGATATTTTAATTCTTTCAAGAATTGTAATGTACGGCTGAGTCTCAAGATGTTGTCTGGTTGAACGTCGTAGTAGGAAGATAAACACAATTTTCTCTTACTTAACTATCTTTATTTTCTCCAGGCGAAGGGTTGGTACAGAGTATAATGATGTTCTCGGTTGTAGTTCGATACTATTATTATTTTTCAATTGTATTACAGTTACATTACACCTTCTCCCTTAGAGAAAAATATATACTTATATATTTTTTGTATAAAAATAAAATTCTTAACCTATCATAGTAAAACGGTTTTACATGTAATTAAATTTAGATATATATATACGCAAAATTATTAAATATTCTTTAACTTTTTAGTTTTACAATTCTGGTGCTTCTATGTAGCGGGGATTGGCTTGTTTCGGGTAATTAGATATCTTCAGGGTCATGGTCAATCACTTCGCTATGTTGTTTAGCAGTTATACATGGTAATATGGGTTTTCCTTTACGGTTTCTATACTTACAATTAGATTTGATATGTTTGTAAATTTTGTATAGAACATACAGTCCTATAAATTTTAACGTTGTCATTAAGAAATAAACAAAATATGAATTTTGTAAGATATTAAATGATTCGACATCGTCAATTTTATCTGATATTTGGAAGAGTTTGTGGTTTACGATATCTAAACTTTCTATATCTAAGTTATTGATATGTAGGGGTGTAATTTCTGGGGATGTGTTTTTAATATTTTGTTTTGAATAGTGATCTTCTAAAATATTAAAGCTTGGGAATGTTATATCAAGGGTAGTTCCGGAAGTTAAATTTTTGTTAATGGGTTTTAAAACTGCTGAATTCGTAAAGAGTCGACACTTTGATGGTAAGATTCAGTTTTGCAATTTAAAGTTGCATCAATTCGGTTAGGCGTTACAAATAACCAACTATTCTGCGTATGTAGAGGGTGGAATATCTCGCTTTTAAATTTTGTCTTTCTTATGTCACAGGATTCGGGTATTTGATTGGAATGGTATAGTAATTGCACTGAACAGAGATTTGATGTTCTTGTGAATTTTGTAGGATTTGTTTGAAAACAGATATAATGTTCTAATTCAATGGCTTTACATCCACTAAGATCGTCAATCGTGACGTAGTTTGTTTTAGAATTTGTCACTGATAAATATTTTACCAATGGTAATATAAAAAGAAACTCGTTGAGGTTGTTTTTCATCGGTAGTGGAATTAATTTGAATAATTCAAATGAATCTTGGGTAACCAAAGGGTTGGATATCTTGAAAATAAATAAATTAGAAGTGGCATAACTTTTGATTGATGACACTGACATAAGGTCTTTAACGTTGTGAAGTTCGATGCTTCTTACAAATTGAGTAGATGGTGGCAAATGGATTAGCGCCTTGGATAGTTCGTGAATATATTGTTCAACGGAGATTATAGAAGGGTGGATTATGTCTGACTNGCAAAAATGTGCAATGCAATTACGACAAAGAAAGACATTTTTCTCTAGAAGTGTTTTTAAGATTGACTTAGCGATTACGGAAAACTGGCAACGTGTAGCCCATTCAGACATCTCTATGAATTCGTAAATCACATTGGTGCGCAATCTCCGAAAACAATTGTCCACAAGATTTCTCAAGAGAATAATATCTCCACCACGTTGTTTTACATCAGGCCTTAACAGATACCGATTGTCTTATGTTCATTAATTAAAACACTACCGTTTTATTATACTATATAACTTTTTATTCAGTGTCATTCAGCGTCCATTACATTTTTCTATTCTCTTCACAGTCTCGTCTTTATCTACCTTACCACTAACGCCATCTACCTAACACCGTATACAACATCCCCCTTTTTTTATCTATTTCTACATTATATAATCCTTAAATCTACTTGGTCTTCTTATTTCTCTTCTTGTCCTTGTTTGTTGTATTTGTTGATTTGCTTGCTCTCCCTGGTCTTTATTCTTTACATTCAAGTCTATGTCCAAATCATTGTCAACCCTAATTTCAGGCTCCAACTCTGTCTTCTTTAGCTGCACTCTATTTCTTCTAATCACCTCTCCATTTTCCTTTTGCACCCAATATGAACGTGGTGACCTGTCCTTTTCTATTATCAATCCTTTTCCCCATCGTACATCTTTATTTTCGGTCTTCACTAACACCTTGTCATCCTTCTTTAACTCTCCATAATCTCTCGCTGTTTTGTCATAATATGATTTATAATATTCCTGTTTTAATCTTAGTTGTTGTTTAATTTTGTCGTTACTTATTTGTTTTGATTGTAATTGTTTGCCAGAAATTGGCAATCTTGTACGAATTTGTCTCCCAAATAATATTTCTGCTGGTGCTAGATTTAACTCTTTCAATTTTGTACTTCTATACATCATTAACGCACTATTAATATCTTCATTTTTTCTCAAAATATTTCTTGCCGTTTGAACAGCGCGCTCGGCCATTCCATTCGCTTGATGATGATATGGACTTGTTGTTACTATATTTATATCCCACTCTTTGCCAAATCTTTTGAATTCAAATGATCCAAATGGCATATTATCTGCCACTATTTTCCTCGGAATACCATGTATCGCGAATAATTCCTTTAGCTTTTCGATAATTCCCATTGCCGTTTTTCTTTCCAACTTTATAATATCTAACCATTTTGAAAACTGATCTATTACAATTAAGTAATCTTTTCCGTGATAGTATAATACATCCATTGATAATGCTTCAAACGGTCCATTCGGGATTTCTAAAGGTTTTAGTTTTTGTTTTGTATTAGCTTTCTGTGCTAATTCGCATTTTTCACATTTCCTAATATGATTTTTAACATCTTTCGTCATATTTGGCCAATAAATTGTTTCTTTAGCCTTTTCCAACATTCTACTAATTCCAAAATGACCTTCATGCAATCTTACTATCATTTCATTTCTCAATTTTTTAGGTATAATCAATCTTTCATTAAAAATAAATAATAACTCATCGTTTTCATATATTTTGTTTCTAACCGCAAAGTATTGTTGTAGTTCTGTTGAAAATTGTTTTTGTTCCTTTGGCCAACCAAATCTATTAAAACTTTTAACTTGTTTCAATGTTTTTTCGTCTTTAATCACTTGTCTAATTAACTCTTTTCGTTCATCGGATATACTAATATTATGAATAATTCTGTGAACTATATTTTTTACCTCATCTAATTCCTCTTTACCTTTATGTTTCAAATAATTTCTCGATAAATAATCTGCAATTAACAACTCTTTTCCAGGAACATACTTTACAGTTATACTATATTTCAATAATTTAAGTCTCAAACGTTGAATTCTGATCGATTTTATTTTGTCAATATTTTGGTTTATAATCACTTCGAGAGGTTTATGGTCACTGATTACTTCCACCTGTCTGCCATATATGTATTGATGAAATTTTATACAAGCAAAAACGATGGCTAAGAATTCTTTCTCTATTTGAGGATACTTCCTCTCTGCTTCCGTCAGTGCTCTAGAAGCAAACGCAACAGGTTTTTTCTCCTGTAACAATACGCAACCTAACCCATCCTGCGACGCATCTGTTTGAATTTGTATATCCAGTTTTTCATCAAAAGTTTTCAATATTGGAGCATTTGTTATTTTTTCTTTTATTTTATTTAAAGTTTCTGTGTGTCTGTCACTCCACTTAAATTCTACTCCCTTTTTTAGCAAATTTCTTAAATTTGAAGTTAATTCTGATAAATTTGGAATAAAAGACCTATGATATCCCACTAATCCTAACAGCCCCTGTAACTGTTTTTTATTGTTTGGAATGTCTAACTTAGATATCGCTTCTATTTTACCTTTATCGATGCTCATACCATCTTTATTAAAATGATGTCCTAAATATTTCACATTTGTCTGTTTAAACTGAATTTTATTTTTATTGAATTTAATCTCATTTTCAGTAGCTATTTTCATTACTTTATTTAAAATTTCATCGTGTTCTTTTTCATTTTCCGCCATTATCAACAAATCGTCAAAATAAACCACAACACCTTCTATTTGTCCAAAAAGCTTATAATTAATTTTTTGAAAAATTTCCGGTGCACATGCCAAACCAAAAGGCAATCTTTTAAATTTATAAGTTCCATATGGCGTATTGAATGCACAGACATTACTACATTCATCGTTTAATTCCAACTGATAGTATCCATCTTTAAAATCTAATACAGTATATATGTTTTTACCGGACAATTTAGCAGTAATTTCATCTAATGTTGGAATTAAGAAATGCTCTCTTACTATAGCTTTATTTAGATCCATTGGATCAATACACAATCTAATTGTACCATCAGGTTTTTCAACGATTACTAAGTTGCTTACCCAATCACAATTGTTTTCTTCAACTTCTTGTATAATTTCTCTTTTACACAGTTCATCTAGCTTGTTCTTCAATGGTTTTCTTATTGCTAACGGTACTCTTCATGGTTGTCTTATTACTTTTGGAACCTCTGGATTAATCTTGAATCCTACTTTTGATTTAATTCTTCCCAACCCTTCAAACAACTTAGGATATGTCTTTACAAACATTTCTTTTGATTTAATCTCATCTATTATGTTTATACTAGCTAACTTAACTAATTCGAACAACTCACAAGCCTCCAATCCTAATGTTGGTTTACTTTTTATATCTACTATTACAAAGCTAATATTTTTAACAATGTGTTTAAATCTACAGTTCATGTTTACAATTCCGATCGGTTTATACTTTTTTCCACCATAGGCTTCTAATATAATACCTGTTTTTTCCATTTTTTGTTTTTTCCAGCTTTTTATTCCTTCTTTTGGCAATATATTGACTTCTGCCCCTGTGTCAATTTTAAATTCTACTGGATTATTTTCAACTTCTATTGTTTCTATCCATTCCTTTCTTTCTCCTTTTTGTCTCACTTGCCCAATTTTTACTAGTCCCACAGTATATTCTTCTTCACTACCCTCTATGTCGGTTTTTACAGTATAAACACTTTTTGCTTTGCACGCAATCGTAAAATGATTATATTTTTTACAATTATTGCATACTTTTCCATAGGCTGGGCATTCTTTATACTTATGTCTCTTCAAACATCTTTTGCATTTGAATTCTTCTTTTCTAAACACATCTTTATTTTTGTTTGTGTGTTTTTCATCATTCTTCTTCTGAAACCCAAACTTTTTTCTTACTACTTCTACTTTTTTATCCACTGATTCTTGAACATCTTTACATCGTGTTTTTGTCGCTTCAAACGCTCTACAAATTTCCATAGACCTTTCCATTGTTAATTCCTCTTGACTTAACAATTTTTCTTGCAATCCTTTATCATATATTCCTAATACAACTCTATCTCTTACCATTTCATCAGCATCTGTAAAGTTGCATGTTTTCACTAGTTTTCGTAGCTCTTGTAGGAAATTGTCAAATGGTTCTCCTTCTAATTGTTTTTTCTTATAAAATTTGAACCTTTCATAGACCACATTTGCCTTTGGATTGAAATACTTCTCAAACTCTTCCATCACTTTATTATATCTCTTTTTTTCTTCATCCGACAATTTAAAATTATTATAAATTTGAACTGCCTCTTCTCCAATCGAATTTAATAACAATGCTATTTTAATTTCATCTTTTTTGTTGTCTTTCTCTGCCGCTACTAAATAAATTTCAAATGCCTGTTTAAATCTTTTGAAATTTTCTGATACATTTCCGTCCAAGCTTAACGGTTGTGGTAACCTTGCAGCATCCATTTTGTGATATCTTATTTACCTTATTTACCTTCTTTTCTTTGTCTTACTTTTCTTCGACGTTCAAGGATCTTGGCTATTTTCTTAATAAAAAAGTAGCGTACCAGTTACTTTCCTGACTGCGCCATGTCTTATGTTCATTAATTAAAACACTACCGTTTTATTATACTATATAACTTTTTATTCAGTGTCATTCAGCGTCCATTACATTTTTCTATTCTCTTCACAGTCTCGTCTTTATCTACCTTACCACTAACGCCATCTACCTAACACCGTATACAACACCGATTATGATAACAGACTGAACTATTACCATTGACTTTTAAATATGATTTGGGCAAATCCAAACCTTTTATCACAAATGCTATGTAAAGCAAGCTGATGTAAACTTGCAATAATATGCATTCTTGGTTCGAGCAAAACCCACATTGCTTTCACCCCTTTATCTATTGGGTAGACTAAACGACCGGACTTTTCAAGTAAAACCAATAACCAGGGAAAATATGACAAAACACTAAATACCAGTAGAAACGTGTCCAGGGCCGAGACTTAAGCAGCGCTTTTTTTTCGTCGAAACTAGA